CACTGCTAAAGTAATCACAAAGATATAGATTGGTTTCTCTTGAAATCTGGGTTCCGTCTTAGTTACAACCTCAAGGCTGCTTAGCATTTCTCTTAGGTACCATGATCAGCTTCTCTCCTGTACCTCCCAGAAGCTTTACCAAGCTTCATTATTTCCATGAAGTGGAACCCTAGGGCTACTGTGCTCTTTTCCTGGACATCTCTTTCCTAGTGCCGAAAGAACACTCTCAGGACTATCAGGACTCTTCGTCCCAGAGCTCCGTATTGAAATAAAACCATTCTTCCTTCTTTCCTTCACTCTGTTTCCCAAACTTGATTCCTGAGGGGACTGGAAATTTTTCCTCTTCTTCGTAGATTATCCCTCCTCTTTGTTCCAGATCATATCTCTTCCTTCTACTCTAAGAAGGAGATCTAAGATCATTATCTCATATTCAATAGTATATTAAACATGGCCACTGATGGGTTTTGGGGTGACGGTGAGGGTGTGCATCTGACGGCCAAGAAAGAATTCTTGAAGACATCTTTGGTGCAAAAAACGATGGGGACAGGACCCGTGGACAGAAAGAGCTGCACTGAGGCTGTTGAAGAGTGACTGGTTATGTGGACACCTTCAGGTTGGGAGAGGGTTAGGGACAGAGTAAGTCTGTAAAGAATTTTGGAAGCAAGGTTTCTAGGACCTTGAGGGGCTAGCTGTTGTTAGAAAAACGTCATTTATTGCTGTTTAGTAAAACCTCGGTCATGAAGCCCTTCAGGTGTATATCAGAGGCCATATGCTTGGGGTATAATTGCCAACATGTACTTGGGCATTAAAGATAAAGGCAGTTTGCAAAGGAATTGTTATGGGTTTAAGGAGACTCACAGGATCCTGAAAGGGGGGGGTGGTGGGCAGGAAAATGTTAAGCCAGGATTCCCCTTTGCCCCCAGCAAAGTGTCATCATCGAGGCAGCTGAGCTCCTGGAGGGAGGTCACTCTGCCTGTTTCAAGGACTTGCCAATGGGCTGTAAGCCGGCCATATGGGAATTTAAGTTTTCATTTGTCATTGTTTCCCACATCACCATGGCAAGCACTTAAACCCCCCTTACATCTTGGTGAGGGTGATATTAGGGCTCCAGGAAACGGAGTCTATAGGTTTCTGGAGGTTAGACTATAGATAAGATTGCCTTTCTCTTACAGTTTACTAGGTTATCTGCAAACTGAAGGAGACTCCTGTCCTGCATGACCATGATCTTTATCAGTCAATCATTTGTTTTCTTTCCTTTCTCCGGTCCTTGGGGAGCCAGGAGTGTCCGAGGAATACCACACATATCCCACCTGGGGTGGTGGTGCTGTTAGCTTGTGCTTGGCCCTCAGCTTGCCTTATGGCCCCTCATCCGTCATACTTGTTTTATAGGTGAAAAAATGACCTTTCCTAACCTAACACCTACTAGATGCTGCCTGCCTTATCTTCTCCTTCCCTGATGAGCTGTGAGTAGGTTATCAACAGTATTTTCCTACTTCCCACTTTCTCATTACTTACTCTCTAATTTCTCTCCTCCTCATCTCGGACAATACTCTTGCTAATTGTTGGAGAAGGTCATCAGTTGAATGGGGAGGTAGACTTAGACAGTTGAGGGGCTCCTCACCCCCTCCCCTCCCCATCCTTGGACTGTGCATTCTGTCCACTGCATTAGGAGCCTCTTCAAGGACGCAGCTTTGAGAGAGCAACGTGTTGTTGAGACTCTCTGGATGGCAGGTGTGACCGAACCTCATTAAGCTCTCTGCATAAACTCTTGAGGTTCTCATGGATGGGTCAGTGCGAGGATCTGTTTGCCTGTGCCCGCGCAAGACAAGCCTCCTGCACACATTCCCTTACATATTCAACCTGCCACCTGCCCATCTGGACTGGTCTGCCTTTCTTCATCCCTCCCTGCCTCCGTGTCCAGGGGCCAGTTTCAAATTTCACTTGGGGAGCACCCCACGTTTTGCTAACTCACGCCAATGTTTCCCCAGTGACCTCTCAACTGCCAAATCCAAAGAGAACTTTCCAGTCCCCATCGTACTGGCTTTGTCTGTGATAGCTGATCTAGCTGACCACCCCATCGTTCCTCACAGAACCTTCTCTGGGTCCTTTCCCTAGCCGAAGAGCATTCTTTGGCCCTCCTGTTTGTGGACTCCTTGCCTACAGATGTTAAATGTTTGTGTGTTTCCATCTCCCACTGTTGATGTTCTTTTTCCTTCAATTCTGCATTCTCCCTAAAGGACTCAAACCGTGATGATGTTGGAAAGGTATCTGAGACAAAATGCTCCACGCATGACCAGCAGTTGTTCCTTGCCCAGACCAAACCTTCGTATTTGCCGAATAGGTAACGAAGCCTCTCCACTCACCTCAGAATTTAGCTAATGCCTCAATTTTGAGGACAGTGGCTGATAAGAAGCTTCATGTTCTGTAAAAGGTAGTGCTAGTCCCATCCTCACAGGACTTGTGAAGAGGCAACCCAGGCAGGGGGGCTGGAAATGAGGGAGGAGGAGAGAGATAGTTTGGAGACTTGATGGACAGTCAGGTGTGTGGCATGAGAAAGCAGAAATGCTGAAGAATTGGTGATCTGATTAGAATGTAGAAACTGAGACAATGCATTACTCAACATTCCCATTTATAAATTATGTAATTTATAATCTGTTAAATCTCGGGGGAGAGAACGGTTTTTCTATACCTGAGATTCAGGATATTGATGCCCATTTTTATGGTCACTGTAAGATAGATTACTTAAACATCAAAAAATTTTCTATATTCACTGATAATCAGCCAAAAGAGAGACAGCATCATGATTTAGATGGCAGTATATAGCAGCTGATATTTTTAGTGGTTTTCAAAATTCTTATAAGTCACTGAGCGTGTCTGAAATATTTATAGATTATACTCAGTGCCGGAAGATACCACCGTCTTTTTCAAGCATGTAGCAATCCTCATCAATCTGAGAGATACTGTAGTGAACTGGTTAAGATCCTGGGCTCTGGAGCATTTCCGCTGAGGTTTGAATCTCACCTTCTTGTTTATTACCCATGTGAATTTGGACAGGTGATTTTTTTTCTTTATAGCTCAGTCTCATCCGGAAAGTGGGAACGATAGTATCTCCCTTATAAGTTTGTTGTGAGAATTATGTGAATTAATATAAGGCCCTTAGAACAGCGCCCTGCATTTCGTAAGTTGTACTTAATTTGTTAATGTTGTAATTTCATATTTCAGTGTCATGACACAATGCCACCGGGAAATCTAATTGTTTAGAATTGTGCTATCTTGAAATAGGTCCTTGGGAAGTGGTGGCTGGTTATCTGTGGTGATTCACAAGCTGAGTTTAGGAATTAATCTCCACACATTCATCATTTATCTTGATTGAACCCATGTATAAGTTATGCTTTGCTGCAATCACAGTTCATGAGATTCCATTTCCAGAACGGTGATGCATTTCTGAATGGAGTGCTGAACGCTTACAACTTCTATCGATCACTTCCTTTCCCCTCCCACAAGAATAACTTTCTATTCCCATTTAACTGAAATGCATTTCCAACATGCTTCCAGGAGCATACCTCTTCCATTATGTGAGAAACAGCTGTGCAAATGTTTCTCTGCTGTTGTAAATATATGCTCTGCATTTCTGTATGTATTTCTGCTAAACATAATGTTCTTTACTTTTCATATCACGTCTTCTGCATTAGATAGCCATGCTCCTCAGGGGTAGTAACCGTGTCCACTTTGTTTTTTACTTCCACTTGTTCGCCGCATCGATTTGTATGCTTTAGGCTAAGCAAGAAGCTTAAGACACTTTGGGGACGGATTTGCTGAAATTAACTTCTCCAGTCTGAATCCTGAAAGAACTAGGCCATTATAATTACATAATTTTTTTTTTTTTTTAAACTTGAAGAGACCTTAGAGATCAGGTTTTCCAGATCCTTCGTTTTACAAATTAGGAAACTGAGTCCCAGTATATCCGTGGTAGAGCCAGAATCACAATCCATTCCTCCAGGCTGATAAGCCCAGGGCTGTTTCTGCAGCGTCAGCTCCCTCTTGGATTGAGTCATTTATTTTCCAGGTGACTTCTGCATATTATGGTGTGGGGGTGGGGGAGGGGAAGGGGTAGGGGACTGGCTTTTAGGTCTTTGGGGCCTTGCCAGGTTACAGAAACCAGCATATATAGCACAGAAGAAGGAAGAGAGACCTAATATAAATTAAAAGGGGGAATTTCTCTCTTCCTCGCCTTCAGTAATATCGTTATCAAGGGAAAAATGGCATACTTAAGAGAAGATCTTAGGGAATGCGAAATCATCGTAACCCATCTGTCTCTTCTGGAATGATCTCTCCGTAGCCTGCACGTTAGGGGTGATTATTTTGGCCAGAGGGTCCTTGCCCGGGTTGGGGGGGGGGGGTGGGGTGGGAGACAATGCGTGTGTCTGTGGTGTGTAGTTCCCATTTGGGGGGAGGCGTCTGCACGTGGCTGGCTGCGGAGCGAAAGGGGGCGGGGTGGGGGGCGCGGGGAGGGGAGCGCGCGCGAAGGGCCCGGCAGTAGCCATTAGCCCGAGGAGGCAGGTGGGGAGCGGGAGGGGTCTGCGCGTCCTCCGAGGTGCCGGGAGCCCCGAGAGCCGCTCGGCCCGGAGGGGGGAGGCCGCCACTCGCCGCGGCGCCGGGAGCTGAGGAGCGCCCAGAAGAACTTGGTGGCTCGCGCTCGTCTGGGGACGTTGGTCCGGGGCCGCGGGGCAGCTGGACGTCGGGCCATGGGTGAGTGCGCGGGCGGGGGCGCCCCAGCGCGGGGCCTCGGGGGGCGGGGTGGCACCGCGGGGAGAGTAGGTGTGGGGTCGGCCTCCGCGTCTGTCTCGAGACTTGCCCCCCCCCCGGGCGCGGGGCGGTGGGGACGCGGTGGCACCCGGTGGGGTGGGGGTGGGGGGGCGCGCGGAGGTGGCGAGCGCGCGGGGACCGCGGCCCGGGGACGCCGCGGAGGAGGGCGGCCGGGGTTCAGGGGGGACTGACGTGCGCACGTGTCCCCGCGCTGCCTCCTGCCCTTCGGGGAGCCAGTGGAGTCGGGGCGCGAGAAACGCAAACTTCGCACAACTTCCCTTCGCTCGGGTTCCCGTCCGGGCGCCGCCGGCGCGGGGCGAGGTCGGGGACACCTTCTGGTCCCCTCTCAGCTGAGCGCCGGCCTTGCACAAAAAGGTCTGCGGCCGAGGCTGAGGGTGGACTCTCCCCTCCACCCCAGCGGGGCAGACGGCGTGGTCGGGGGGGCGTCCGGACCCGCTCGGGTGGCCGGGCTGTGCACCGCTCGAGTCCCTGGACGGGTTCCACTCCTCCAGAGTTTGGCGGCCGCGGCGGCGGCTTGGACCGGCCCCAGGAATGCGGTCGGGTGGGGTGGAGGGGTTGCGAGAGCCCGGTGCGACACAGGCCTTGCAGACCCGGCGCGAGGAGGTTGGTTCCACGGGGAGAGTTCTGCGAGGTGCGAGGGAGGGGCCGGGGAGGAGGAGCCTCCCGGCTGCGGTGTGCTGGGCTCGGGGCGCCCAGCGTCGGGCCGTGCGGCTTCTCCGGGTTACTGATTAGCGACCCGCCGGCACTCGGGGTTACTGGTCAACGCCAGCACGCTCGTTTCTTCTCGTCCAAGTCCAGTGCGCGCCCCTCCCCCAGCCTCTCCCTTGTCCTTTGTTGTAAAGGATTTTTTTTTTCCCACCCCCCAGAGTAAAGGAGGCTTTGGGATAGACGTGCTCGGGTTGAAATTCCTAAGTTCCCACAGGCTCAAGGGTTAGGGGATGCTTTGACTGCTAATCGGTGCAGTTTATAGACGCTGGCCAATTCAGGAGAAAGGAAAAAAGAGAAAGCTGAGGACAGTTTTGCCTGTGAATGTTAATTGTGGTCAAGACATTCACAGTCTCTTCTCGCTTGACCCGGAAGTCTTAGAAAGACCCATTTTCAGGGCCTTTGAAAAATAAAGCAGTGTTGCAAATGATCTCCAGGATGGACTGGCTTTAAAAGCTTTCTGAAATTGAAGGACTATTTCCAAGTTAAGAAGGAAAGATAAAACACTTTCCCAAGTGGGGCAGAAAGTATTTAAGGCTTGGTCTTCCTTCCTGTTTTTCATTGTGCATAGGAATATAAACTCTTGTTAGAATAACCGCGGAGGAGAAAAGCTCTCAAAAATGGAAAGCCAAAGTAATTGACTTAGTATAATTTACTCATTTACCCTACTGAAAGCACTAAGATGCTGTTTGTAACCGACATTCTCTAGAATGTTCTCTAGAAGGAATGAACTTGTTTGCCGTGTAACCTTAAGTTTGAGTGGGCTGCCTACCCAAGGATAAGGTGCTCTTGATTTTGAAGCTAATTGTTTCTCTACTATTTGCATACTATAATGAACACAGTTGGTCCTGGGGTTTGCTTCAATGCCCTTGGATAAATTAGGCTTGATCCCACATATGGGAAGGTGTTATCATGGAAAGGAGTTAGAGCTAACACCTGAGCCCTTAGGCTAATCCTGAGCTTGGTCTCTAACCCTTATGAGTTCTCTTTCCTATCTGGAATCTGACAGATGCCTAAAATTTGTCTCCGCCTCCTTCTACCATTACATTTTTCTTACTGAAATTGTGGTCACGAGAAATTCCTGTTGATGTCAGATGGCCAGTGAGAGAGAGTGGGTAGAGGAAGCAAGTGAGAACCCAGGGGTCAGGGAGTAGAGAAAGAACAGGTATGTAGCAATGGGGAGTGAGATCAAGATGCCAGGACCTAGGACAATGACCCAGACACGCAGTCCAGAGATAGGAAGAGCCACCAAGCAGATGGGGGCCGGTGAGAGACCGAAGAGGGGAAATATGTACAGAAACTCCAGAGAAAACACTTGGTCACTTGAGGTCATCTTTCTCCTCTTTTACTTGCGAAAAACACAGAACATCAGTCAGAGTTTCTTTTGTTTGTGGTAGCAGGGGGTGAGGGCACTGGAGTCCACATTGCTAGGATGAAGGGGGAAAAGCAGGGTAGCAGAATGCCTGGCTGTGCCAGCAAGCTGAATCCACCCTTCTCTGGTGTCATGACAACCGAAATTTATCATTTATAGAAAGGAAGATGGTGCTATGGGAGTGAATATAGCAATCAGTTCTTGTTTGACTCAGGAGAAGAAATCCATACTCTAGCTTGGGAGAAGAATGAGAATAATTGGTTAATCAAATACTCTGAATAATTTATAGTTATATCTATAATGCACAAGGCTAATTTTCAAAAAAAAAAAAAAGGAAGGTTATTTGCAAAGTAGGCAAATTGACATTTTGGCACCTCTTGCTTCCTTCTTTTATTTTCTTTCCTCAGCAATGGCTTCAGCTTGTCTAGTTATGCAACAAGTTTTCCCCTCTGCCCTCAAATGTTCCCCTACAGAAAGGATATGATGAGGTGTTTGATACGAAAACAATGCAGGGCTAACTTTTGGCCAAGAGCATTTGCATTTTAGCTGCAAGGCTAACTTTGTCCTCTCATCTCTCTGATGGTAGAGTTTCAGGCTCCAGTGTGAGACGGGTCAGGAATATTTTTAATTTCTTTTCTAACCACATCACCTACTGTTTTATTTATTTAAAAAATGACGTTGGGCGTTATTTCATGCCACAGGTTACTGTGGGAAGCTGCACGGGGGGTGTGGTATTGGAGCTGATTTGGGCCATGTGAAAGGGTTTGGTAAGGGAAGAGGTGTTGTAGGTAGACAATGGGCCCCTTCTCAAAGCAGGAAGGAAATCAGTTTTGGGGAACAGTAAGACATGGAGCTGAGGTGACAGGATGGACTTCATTTTGGAGAGCCTTCAAAAGTAACCAGAGGAATTTAGAATTTATACCAGAGGAAATAGGGAGTCATGGAAGGTTTTTGAGCACAGAAGCATTACAATGAAATCAGTGCTTAAAGGAGATGAATTGATTGGTGTTGTTTAAGACAAAGGATAAATTGGAGAGAGTAGACCCAGAAGATAGACTTAGTTGTCAGAGTAATCCTGAAATGATAGGACTTGTATCTAGACCAGTCATAGAGGAAGAGTGGTTAACAGTGGAAATGGGGAAGAAAAGATAGGTGAAAGATACCTCTAATGAGAAAGCTGTAAAAGTTGGCAATTGAGTAACAGCAAGGAAAGTGAATCATCTCTCTCTGGAGATTGGAAACCTTGAAAATTGGGGAAATAGTGGGTCCCTTGAGAATGTTTAAAGGATTAACCAGATGCTTTATTTTCCGGATGCTTTGGACAGAAAATTAATTTCATTTTTGGAATGTTAATTAAGAGGTGATAGCTAGACATCTAAACACAAGTGTTTGTTGGAAATGCATAATGAGAACTTAGCAGAGCACGGGAGCAGGAAGGGAAATAAAGATCTGAGGGTTGCTAGCCTCTAGTAAGAGTTAAACCCACGCAACGAAAGTGAGAATATAAGGTGTGCTGGTTGAGGGGTAGGAAAAGAAAGGAACATACACCACATAAAATGGACTAAATGCCCTAAAATTAGAACAATGAAATGTTCCATCTTTAACATTCAGCTTTAGATCCAGGAGTCTGTAAATTTTGATGAGAAGAATCTCGGGAGGAAATATTTTGCTCTCGTTCAGTTTCGGTAAACATGGACTTGGTTAAGGATCTGTAAAATTATTTGCAAATTTAGGCAAGGAATAACGAGACATCGTATTGTTTTGAACTCATACTAGTTTTAGGAAAAATATGACCCCCTACAGGCAGTTGTGAGCAGGGTATAAAGAGCCCGGATTTGAAGCAGGACAAATAAGATAATTTTTTATGTCTTTGGGTGAGTCATTTAAATCTTGGGGTTTCTGTTTTCCCCAAGGGCATTGGGGGATACTTGGTATAAATTTATGTAGCTGAGATCTTGATACGGTAACAGAGGGAAAAAAAGCACGCAAAGAAGATAGAGTTGAGCTATTTTCATTAAGCAAATTAAGAACATTTTAATGATTCTAGGCTACTAGGTAAAACTTTTAAGGGTCATTTGGCCTCTAGTATGTTATTCTCCCTGGAAAATTTATAAAAGCCCGAGAGTCTGAGCCTGAACAGAAAAAGATAAACTAATGTTCCGGTTATCTTTGCTGCATAACAAGTATCCCCAAAACTGGTGAGTTACAATGACAGTTTATCATTAATCTCTGTGGGTTCTGTGGGCTGTCTCCTGAGCAGGTCTTGTTTGAAATCTGGTGCCTTTGCAGTCCAGTATCTGCTGGGGATTCAGGCATCAGAAGACTTGGCTGGGCTGGTTGTCTCAGGTAGGTCTCACATAGCAGCGCTGACAACTGGCTGTTGGCTGAGATGTCAGTTGGGGCTGCTTCCAAGGGACTTGGGCTTTTCACAAAATGGCAGCTTGATTCCTAGAGGCAGCGTCTTGATACAAGGGTTCCAAGAAACCCAGGCAGAAGCTACGGGGATTGTTATGACCTAGAACGTCCTGTGTCTCAGAACATTATTTCTGCTGCCTTCTGTTGGTCAGGAAAGTCATTATGGGCGACATATTTAAGGGGAGGGGCACTGGATCCCTCCTTGTGATTTAAGGAGCAACGTAGTCTCCAAGGAGAGAAAAAGAATCGCAGTAGCCAACTACTACTTGGTCTCATTTCTACAAGAGATGCCTTATAAGTGTGCTTTGCCGTAGAGACATCCTCAGGTTTGCCAGGGAAAATTTGATGTACGTTTTCTGAAACATATAGGATAAAAGACTGCATCTTTAATTAGAAATACGAAGAAATCTAGGCAGTCCCGCTAAAATTTCACAGCAGAACAGTTGAGTGTGGAAATTCATGCCTGGGTGCAAATGTGTTAGGAGGATGCTGGGATAAAGCTGTACTCAAAATAATTTCAAATAAGATCAGCTTGTCTTTCTTATTTTAATTTAAATGGGGGAACTTCTGAAGCGATTGTGAAATGGTCTTTATTTCACTTAGAATCAAGCTTTTGTCATACAGTAGAATGTAGGTCAAATAAATGCTTTATTGAATATCCTCTCATCATAATGAACTAAATGCTTTGTGGCAAAACTGGTCAGAAGCTTGCTTCAGTTTTCACAAACATATTAATTATACAAAACACGTAATGTGAATTGGTAGGGTGTTGACTAAAAATAAGTATGGGCTTAAATATTCTGATTTTTGGAACATATGTTTCTAAATTAAACATGTAACATTCAATGTAACAGAACTTTAAATTCTCATTTTATCATTTTTTTTAAAAAAGTTTATTTATTGAAGGAGAGAGAGAATCCCAAGAATCTGTCATCACAGAGCCTGATGAGGGCCTCAGTTGCTCGACTGAGGAGATCATGACCTGAGTTGAAACCGAGTCGGATGCTTAACCAACTGAGCCATCCAGGCGCCCCTCATTTTATCACTTTTAACTGGAGAGGGTCAGATCAGAGTTGTTATTTCCGATAAAAAAAAAAAAAAAAAAATTGGT